TCCAGCGCCCCTGCAGGAACAGACAGAGACCGCCATCGATGGGACTCCAGCGCCCCTGCAGGGACAGACGGGGGACGCCATCGATGGGATCCAGCGTCCCTGCAGGAACAGACGGGGGACGCCATCGATGGACTCAGCGCCCCTGCAGGGACAGACAGAGACCGCCATCGATGGACTCCAGCGCCCCCTGCAGGGACAGACGGGGGACGCCATCGATGGGACTCCAGCGTCCCCTGCAGGGACAGACGGGGGACGCCATCGATGGGACTCCAGCGCCCCCTGCAGGGACAGACGGGGGACGACATTGATGGGACTCCAGCGCCCCCTGCAGGGACAGACGGGGGACGCCATCGATGGGACTCCAGCGCCCTCTGCAGGAACAGACGGGGGACGCCATCGATGGGACTCCAGCGCCCCCTGCAGGGACAGACAGAGACCGCCATCGATGGGACTCCAGCGCCCCCTGCAGGGACAGACGGGGGACGACACTGGATTAGAGGTGTTCAAGCAGAAACCTTACGGGTGTTTCAAAATAAAGCCAAAGCAGACATGATCAAAAAAAAAAACTGCAGTTCCTTGAGTGTCCACTTGGGGCTAAAGAATCCCCATCAGGTCTCATTCTATAACTTCATTCAGTTAAATAACTTTGATGTGACTGGGTGTCCTCATCGCCCCCTGCAGGACGTAGTGTGTATGTTTACTGTTTGTACCTACACTACAAGCTAACACCTGCTAGCACAAGCTAACCTCCGGTGTTCATCACCTTCCTGTCCAAACAGGAAGTAGACCAACTCCACGTCCACGGGGAAAAGACAACACAAGGTTCACCCTGGTTTCAGAACGATCTTTATCCACTTGGTGTTTCTCCTCACTCTCATTAGATTTTCTCTTTTCTCTATGTCCTCGTCCATCATATTCGACCAATCACTGAACTGTCTGTATTTTATTTTGTAGGAGCTGCTGACTCTAACTATCATTTATGAATGGACATATTAATAACTTACAGTTTACTTTAAGTTACTGAGTATCCTCTAATTAATCTCAGACACACCCTCAAATATTAGATATGTGTTTTATTTTAATATATTATTATTATTATTATTCATATTTATCTTAAACTGCATGAACTAAAACAAATGATTCACTTTTTTTAACGTCAGAGTCTTCGTAGTTGGATCATAAAATTCCATTAAGGACATTAATTGATACATTTAGTTTATATTTATAGACTATAAAAACATATCAGACTAAAGTAAATCTCTAAATTAGCGCCAGTCACTTTGCGACAGTTCTGTCCGCTTTACGGAAACGGAAACTGCTTCAGTCGAAGTAAACATGTGGAGAGTTCTTTATCCCTAAAACACACACGTGGTAAGAGTTTAAAGGCTAAATCGATGTATTCTTATTGATAGCTTAGCTTTAAGTTCCCGGATGTATTATGAAAGTTGAGTTGGAGCTGTGAGCACATAAACTAACACTGTTAGCATGTAGCTTAGCTTAGCCTGCTAAGTCAGTCAGTTGAACAGCAGCAGCTCTACATGAAGTGTCTGATAAACACAGTCAGTACCAACCGACAGAACCACTCCTTCTAATCCACCTGGTTCTTTTTAGTTTCTTTATGTAGCTCTTAAACGCATTTATTGTTCAGGCTCGTTATCGCACCGATCGTCGTTAAAAATACTCTCGATTTAATATTTTCTTTGTCACAGGTGAACCTGCACAGGTAGAAGAAGATGCTCCAACATGTAGTTGAATCGTCATGAAGCATACATTAATTCGGCGTATATTTAGAACATGAAGCAGTGTTAGTTTTAAAGTTATTATCCTGCTGGTCAGTTCACTGACTGACGTCACGGCGGATCGTCTGAGCAGGAAACGGGACCCAAGTCCCACCTCACTGCAGGTGGTCGAGTCCCACCTCACTGCAGGTGATCAAGTCCCACCTCACTGCAGGTGATCGAGTCCCACCTCACTGCAGGTGATCGAGTCCCACCTCTCTGCAGGTGATCGAGTCCCACCTCACTGCAGGTGATCCAGTCCCACCTCACTGCAGGTGATCAGTCCCACCTCACTGCAGGTGGTCGAGTCCCACCTCACTGCAGGTGATCAAGTCCCACCTCACTGCAGGTGATCAAGTCCCACCTCACTGCAGGTGATCGAGTCCCACCTCACTGCAGGTGATCGAGTCTCACCTCACTGCAGGTGATCGAGTCCCACCTCACTGCAGGTGATCGAGTCCCACCTCACTGCAGGTGATCGAGTCCCACCTCACTGCAGGTGATCGAGTCCCACCTCTCTGCAGGTGATCGAGTCCCACCTCACTACAGGTGATCGAGTCCCACCTCACTGCAGGTGATCAAGTCCCACCTCACTGCAGGTGATCGAGTCCCACCTCACTACAGGTGATCGAGTCCCACCTCTTTTTCTGATTTTCTGGAATCAGTTAAAAATGATAATAATGTTCATTCAGAATGAACTTGGAGTAAAATAGTGAAATCTTTATTTGGAGTTTGGTAGTTCGATTTACTGCAAACGTCTTTACCGTAATTTGGCTTTTTAACATCAATAATATTAAAACATAGATCTTCATTTGATCAAGGACAGATGTTACGACTAACATCATCATGTTGATTCACCAATTAGAGCGCCTACGTGTTTATTCATTTTAAAGTGTGCAGGAACCGACTCGTTCTCCTTCATCAAAGCCCTCCAGACGATCCAAAACCCAGCAGCACGACTGGTCTTCAACCAATCAAAAACAGCACATGTCACTCCGCTGTTCTCTCAGGATCAGCTGTTGATGTTGTGTTCTGCCTCTGGTCACTTCCTGTCAGCACCTCTGGTCACTTCCTGTCAGCACCTGTGTGTCCGATCAGCTGTTCGTGTGCACTTCCTGTCGTTGTGTCCGCTGAGTTGAATTGTAGAATTGTTTTTATTCTAACTTCTTGATTGTGACTGAACTCTTGGTCTCCGTGCGTCTGCAGATGGAGAACTACAGTAAAGCTCGGACGGTGGAGCAGCCGTCGGTCTGTCCGTTCCCCGGTCTCCCCCCCGACACGCCCGAGGTCAGAGTGAAAGACGGCAGCAAGATCCGTAACCTGCTGCGTTACGCGCTGAGCCGCGTGGAGGGCAAGGCCAAAGCAGCCGAGGAGGAGGAACGACCTCCACCTGAGGAGGGAGGAGGCGGAGCTACAGAGGGGGGACAAAAGGAAGCCCGGCCGCTCTGCAGCCACGTCGTCTTCACGGCGAGCGGGAAGGGCGTGTCCAAAGCCATCACGTGCGCTGAGATCGTGAAGCGGCGAGTGAAGGGGCTCCACCAGCTCACCAAGCTGCTGTTCAGCACGGCGGTGGAGGTGTGGGAGCCGCTGGAGCCCGCCGCCGGACTCGACAGCCTCACCGTCAACAGGAACCTGCCCGCCATCTGGATCCTGCTCTCCAGAGAGCCGATGGACCGCGGCGAGCCCGGGTACCAGCCGCCGGGACGCTACGACCTGCTGTGGGCTCAGTCTGCTACCAAGGAGGAGGGGGGAGGGGTGACGGGACAGAGAACAGGACACAAGAGGAAGAAGGGGGGGGAGGGGGAGGGGGGGCAGAGGGAGGGGAGCTGGACGTCCCACCGGGCGCTCCAGAGACGCAGCTTAAGAAGAGTTCATTTATTTTACAAACTGAAAGAAGAACGGACTCTTTGACTTGTCTTTTCTTTAAATCCACCTGACGAGACGATCGTTTATTCTTCTCTGGAAATGTTTACCTGCAGAATCTGTCGGCGAGGGACACGACCTTCTGCTTCCTGTTCGTCGTCTGAGTGGTTCTTTGTTGTTGAGCAGGTCTTTGGTTATAAGCAGGACCAGAGTTTGTGTGTTCAGAGTGAGAGAGGCCCTTCAGCTCTCATCCTTTATCCACTTTTTTTTAGTCTGGATGAATCTTAATGTTAACGTAAACAAAGTTTAGTTTGTAGACTCTCCTGTTGAACTCTCATCCCTCAACTCTCACTTTGACTGCTGTCTGAAAAATAATCAGAGGAAGTGTTGACCCAGATATGATTTATTCATTTTTCAAGCAGCACAGAAATCATGACAGTCTCTCCCTGAGGATTCTTCACACTCGATGTTTCAGCAACATTTCTTCATATTTTCACATAAACTTTAAAGGGTCTCTTATTCTATAAACTCCTCTTCTCCATGTTCCTCTAACTCTAACATGTGTCTCTAGTCTGTCTACAAACCCCCCAATGATGAGAAAAGTCCATCCTCTCCGTCTTCTGCCTGCTCCACTTTTCAGAAAATGTGTGCTCAAACAGGCCGTTTGGAGATTTTCCCTTCATGACATCACAAAGGGCAGTAGCCCCTCCCCCCAGGTGGGTGACACTCCCACAGCTAGGTGTTTGTTCTGCCCTCTGAGTCTGCCTTCTCACCGTAAACAATAGGACATGGAGCGAGAAAGACCAAGCCCTTCCAGAGAGGGGGCGTGGTCAGACACAGCTCATTTACATATTTAAAGGTACAGCCACAGAAACAGCCTGTTCTGAGCAGGGCTGAAATAGAGGGGTTTATAGACATGATCAAATACAGGATCAGAGTGGATTTAGAACAAGAAACTTCACACACATGTTTTGAGGAGCTCTGAGACTTATTTAAACTGAAGAAGAGGAGGAGGATATGTCACCTTCAAAGGGGACTTTACACGTCATATTGTGTCCACAGGGGGCGCCAAAATCCACTCAAACTGAAATACCCTCACAGCTGCTTTGAATGAGATATTTAATGTTTGATAGTGAGACTTTTTGGTGAAATATTTAATAAGGGAAAATCATTTATTGTTTTAAAAATCTAAGTAGTACCTCCCCTACTTTACTACTGAAGCCGAACTGACAAAATATATTTTAAAAACTGTCTTAAAATATCAGTTACCTTTAAAAAAAAAAAAAATTCTTTCTTTCTTTCTGTTGTGATCAGAAGGATCCAGATATTTTAAAATAACAATCACACAAAAGTTTTGACACACAAACTGGAGGTTTGATTCAGGAAAAACCAGGATGATAAAGTTCTCCTGATATTTATCTAAACAAGTCAACATGTCCTCCTTTAAGAAGGAGCAGTGAATGTAAAAAATGCTCAAATTCACTAGTTGTAGTAGTAATCCTTTATATTTAAGATAAAAGTATGAAAACAATACTGAACAAAGGTTTTGCATTACCCGAAAAAGTCCTGCATTCAAAAACGTATTAGTTATTGGTTTTTATATGTTTGTTTATCTCACAAAATAAAAAAGATTTCTTTAAATAAACCGGTTCAATAAAAAGTTGATGTGATCCTGATTTTACTCGATGTGTTAAAGAAACAGAACTTCTTAGTTCATTATCTGATTAATGAACAGGAGTTAAGCAGCAGTGATGGAGATGAGCTGCAGTCTGATCTGCACAGACGTGGATTGTGGATTTGAATGACTCTCATGTTCAGAGGTCAGGACCCTCCACAGCGTCTCCATGTCTGAGTGTAAACATAACGTCGTCCTGTGAGTGTTCAGAGAGCAGCAGTGTGCACGGTGACATCTTGTGTCCGTGTTGATCCTTTTATCTCCTCAGTGCCCCCCCCCCCCTCCCCCCGGGGCTTACTGGATTAGAGTTTCCCTGCAGGAGGATCAGACCCATCTGTCCGAGAGGAAAAGTTCCTGCAGGAGAAGAGAATCATGGAGCGGCGTGGTCGGGTGCAGGTGGTCAGGGTGCTGCTGGTAGTGGTGGTCTCCTGTCTGCTGCTGGGACCGGCTCTGGCTCAGGTCAGACACCCCCTCCCCGTGCTGTGGATGATGCCGGTCAGCTCAGGGTCCAGGGGGGAGAACCTGACCGCCGCCGTACTCCCCGCTGTCAGACTGGCTCTTCAGGATCTGCAGAAACAACCAGCGCCTCTGGGGAACTACGAGATCCAGCTCCAGCTGCTGGACTCACAGGTCGGTCTGTCAAGTTCTCTGTACTTTTACTTACCGGGGTTTGAAAACGAGACCATGAGGGATGCATCAGTTCAACATGGGTATGGACTGATATTTACTCTGTGGACAGATACAGTACAGGATCAATGGAGCCGAAACTAGAGGAAGCATCCATCTCCGTGATGGCTTGAAACCGGGACCTGACCAGTGCACCCTGTACTTTAACATCCAACAGGTCGGCTAAAGCTAGCTTTTTGACTTTGAGGATTTCAATATATCCTCGATTTGCTGTGGACTCGCTCAATCTTTCTAGTTCCACTATATCAGTCTCCAGGTCTTTCATAGATCTGGTGATGTCTCTGGTGACATTGAGGGTGTGCTGTTGACATAAAAGTTTAATCTCAGTCTTACCATGGTCCCACCACTGCCTAAGACTGTTAAACTCACCCTTCCTCTGTCTAAAAACATCCCAGAAATAAATAAGAACCTCTTTAAAATGTTTATCAAATGTTAAGACTGAATTAAAATGCCAATAAGCACTTTTAGGTAAAATGTTTTGAATAAAAACATTACACAAGAGTAAAGAATGGTCAGTAAAACCAGCAGGAACAATACTGCACATTTTAAAAATATTAAAATGATGCTTAAAACAATAAATACGGTCGAGTCTAGCTGAGGAGATCCTACTCTCTCTGAGGTGGGACCATGTGTACTGTCGGCAGTCTGCATGCATCCTTCTCCACACGTCCACCAGGCCATGAGAATAGACCAGCTGCCTCAGAACATGTTGGGAAACTGGATGTGGCTCTGCATGGTTGCGATCTAAAGATGCATTTTCTGTACAGTTAAAATCCCCACCCAAGAATAAGAAATCCTCCGAGGCACAGCCATTTAAAACATGGTTAACTTTTTGTAAAAACAGCTTCCTCTCTGCACCGATTGTTGGAGCATACACATTGATAAAAACTGCAGTAAAAAGGTCGAACCGTGCTTTAATTAAAAGCAACCTCCCCTCGATAAAATGCTCGACCTCCAGTGAAACCGGAGTGAAAGACTTGGAGAGGAGAAAGCCAACTCCTCCACTAAGAGAAGTGTTGTGACTTAAAATGACTTCCCCCTCCCACTCTCTCCTCCAGTCTGCCTCATTGGTGCTATCACTATGTGTCTCCTGGAAATAAAAAACATCAATATGTTTCATTTTGGCCGTTTCATATATAGCTGCTCTTTTTTTTTGACTCTCTGGCTCCATTTATATTCAAACTTCCCACTCTAAAATTATCCATAAGTGAGAAATTAAGAACAAAAATAAAAATCAATAAATTAATTAAAACACACATTGGAGCTCCGCGGTGCCGCTATCGGCCACTCAGATGCCGCGGTCCGGGCCGCAGCGGATGAAGTCTCCGGGGCAGGGGCCTCCCGCCGCTCCGCTGCAACCGGCGGAGCAGCGGAAAGCCCCGCCACAGGGCCGGGCGTCACCCCACGGCCAGGCGGAGCCGGATCCCCTTGTCTCGGACAGGCCTTCACGGTGTGTCCCTCCTCACCACAACCAAAACACTTCATAGCCGACGAGGTGGCAAATATCACGTAGTCATAATCATCTACTTTAACATGGAAGCGGAGGTTGAGGTTAAGTATCATAAACAGTTGTCTCCGGTGAGACACCACGTGTTTCAGCAGATCTACATCCAGACAGAATCTTTTTTATGGGGGACACCACCTTCCCATGTCTGGAGAGCTCTCTGCTAAGAAACTCGTCGGTTATGAACGGAGGGACATTGGACAGGATGACTCTGGTGGAAGGCTGTGTCAGTGGAGTCACCTGTACAAACATTTGGTTCACCGTGATGCCCGTCTCAACGACTCGGTTCACCTTCTCCACCTGATCCAGGAAGATGACCACGGCGCTGTTCATCCGAGCGGCCGACCTCACGCTGCTGTGCCCGACCTACTCCCCCACCGCAAGCCCAATCTCCTCCACGCTGCACGGAAAGCTGCCATTGATTTTAATGCCATGCTTTCAATTAACTTAAAGTGAAACTACAACCAATAAACTACATTAAATTAAATCAAATTACTAAGAAAAACAACCATGAAACCAGAGAGACAGAGAGAGAGAGAGAGAGACAGAGAGAGAGAGAGACAGAGAGAGAGAGAGAGAGAGACAGAGAGAGAGAGAGACAGAGAGAGAGAGAGAGAGAGACAGAGAGAGAGAGACAGAGAGAGAGAGAGAGAGACAGAGAGAGAGAGACAGAGAGAGAGAGAGAGAGACAGAGAGAGAGAGACAGAGAGAGAGAGAGAGAGAGACAGAGAGAGAGAGAGACAGAGAGAGAGAGAGAGAGAGACAGAGAGAGAGAGACAGAGAGAGAGAGAGAGAGACAGAGAGAGAGAGAGAGAGACAGAGAGAGAGAGACAGAGAGACAGAGAGAGAGAGAGAGAGAGAGACAGAGAGAGAGAGACAGAGAGAGACAGAGAGAGACAGAGAGAGAGAGAGACAGAGAGAGAGAGAGACAGAGAGACAGAGAGAGAGAGAGAGAGACAAAGAGGGAGAGAGAGGGAGAGCAGTGGGAGTCCATTTAAAGTTCATTCAAGTCCGTCTATCTTCCTTTAAAGTTACATTATTATTTTTTTACCAGAATCCCACTGTGACATCACAAGGAGAGCACATTAGAAACAGAGCATTTTTCTCTGTGTTGTAAGACTTATGCAGACCACAAACAAAGGACTGGATGGGTTTATTTCACATGTTGTGGGTCAGTAGACTCTCAGGTTACCCAAATATATGTTCAGAAACACTGAGGAAGTGGATTTGTGATAATATGTCTCCTTTAATATCTACAATCTATGACTGTAATAAGCACATTTGACATCCTCGATGAAGGCATGCCGTTAGGTTGTTTGCACATGTTTTGAAGAAGTTTTCAAAGTTAGAATCTTTTCTAATTGAAGTCAAAGTCTGAGGTGAATGAGGGGAACATCCCAGGATGAGTTTGATCAACTATGACGTCTGGAAGTTCTCTAAAAATGTGTTTGAAATCCTGTTGGAGGTTTGTGTTTGGATCCCAGAGGCGTCTTTGTAGATGTGGACATGCTTCATATGAAAGGAAAGGCGGGAGCTCTAACTGTCTGTCTGACCATCAGAAACAAACCGACACCTCTACTTGCAGAAACAAAGACTTAGTTTCTCGTCGGCTGTGTGAAAGTGTTGTAATGCTCCTTTAAGTCCTCTCTCTGTAACGTCATGATTTCCTCCTTTTCTTTTGCAGTGTGATGCTGCTCAATCCCTCAAAGCTCTGTTTGATGCTCTGTGGGTGGGGCCAAAGTTTCTCCTGCTGTTTGGAGGGGTGTGTCCATCTGTGACCTCGCTCATCGCTCGCTCTCTCCCCGCCCTCAACCTGGTGCAGGTAAACACACACACACTCCTCTTCAGGTTGATTCTGTTTTTATAGCAGCTTTAACGTTCTGTTGTCTCCTGTCCTGTGGCGTCCCAGGTGTCTTTCGCGGCCTCGCCCCCCAGTCTGTCCAACAGGAAGTGGTACGGGAACCTGTTCAGCACGGCGCCGTCAGACCGGGCTCTGAACCAGGCGGCGGTGAAGCTGCTGCAGCGCCACAGGTGGAGCAGAGTGGGAGTCATCACGCAGGAGGGACCCCGCCTCTCAGAGGTCTCAGAGACTTTATAGAACGTCTCTCTGTGTGTTTTTTATGTTTCTGTTTCCTTTGTGGTAATGTCTTTTATTTCTGTGAGCAGATGAAGAGAGATCTGATGAGGCAGCTGCAGAAGGCAGACGTTCAGGTGGTCTCCACAGAGAGTCTCTCTGCAGACGTCTGCAGCGGCCTGAGGAAGCTGAAGGTACAGAGAGCACGAGCTT